AAATGAAAAAAAAAAGTAGAAAAGTATTGGTGTCAAAATATAGTGAAAGTAGCGACAGTAAACGTAGTCATTGTGCAGATTGGTCCATTTCAGAATAATATATATGATATGTTTTATAATGATTGATCATGAAAGTGTTCTCAAAGCTGGTAAAGGTGCAGCTAGTTTGAATGACTTTGTATACTGCAGGGTAGCTTGTGAATTTACTCCAGGTGGAACTAAAGTCTGATTTAACACTTGATTATATTTCACATCATTCCTCCACATCTGTGAAGTAACTAAAGGTATTGAATACATGTAGTGGAGTAGAAGTACACCATGTGCCTCTGAACTGTAGTGGAGTAGAAGTACACAGTAGCTAAAAATGTAAATACTCAAGTAAAGTACCTCAAAATTGTACTTAAGTACAGTACTTGAGTACATGTACTATAAGTAAGTGAACATCACATCTAAGTAATAAATTCTACTTTACATCTTTCCTAACCTCATGACAGTTTTCATCAAGCAGATAAGAAGTAGGAAAAGACAAAGGACATGATGTATTTTACCATTTGACCACAACCCACAAACACACACAAACACACACACACACACACACACACACACACACACACACACACACACACACACACACACACACACACACACACACACACACACACACACACACACACACACACACACACACACACACACACACACACACACACACACACATACTCACAGCAGAAGCGCCTGTTCCTCCATGCCCTCACACAGCCTCCTCTCATCTGACACTTCTCCACGTAGTCACTGATGATGTTGCAGGCGGCCTCCTGGTTACCGTCGTTCAGCACCATGTCATAGATACAGTCCTGGCGGTACTGCTCTGCGTCCATCCGGCCCCCACAGTCATCCAGGGGCCCCCCCTTCGCCGTGATGACATCACACACTGATGTGTAGCCGGGGGGTTTGAAGTCGGGGGGAAGAGGCGTTGCACAGTTGCTACCTGGCACAACATCACACATCACACAAACATCACACATCACACATTACACATACTAATCATAGGCTGTATACTAATACAGCTGGTGTAATCTGATTACATTACTGACAAATCTCTCTTAACACAGCGCTCTGCTGATAAGACCAGAAGTGTTCATTGTGAAGGGGTTGTTTATCTGCAGAATGCTCGTTTAAAACTAAACTGCAGAAACTGTATAAATTGCAACGCAAATCACTCTGGCATCCTGTGACTCCTTTTTGTGAAGCTTCAAACATCAGAGTCATTGTTTCCCTGTTCATACATGCCAAAGTTAGAATGTTCAATAAAAAGAAAAAAGAAAATATAGATATTAATGTGAAACATTTCAAGTAAAATATCTAGTATAATTAGCACATTGTGCCATCATATATAACATGAATATATCATTATAAACATTGGAGTATTAGTAGCAACAAGATACGAATGCTTCATTTCACACTAAAAGGATTTAGATATCTCTCTGCAGTCAACCTGCTGGAACTCTTAAAGAAATGCTGAACCAAAGCGAGATAAGTGGTTCACATGTCAAGCTGGCATTATATTGAATAACGAGGTGCCTGTCTGATGGGTTCCAGCACAGTGAGGACCATTAGCAAGCTTCAGCTTACAGTCGCGGGAGCAGCCCGGAGCGTCCTCCAGCCATTGGCTCACTCCAAACGTGTTGCCGTTGGCAGCCAGCTTCCCATTGGGCAGCTTCAGGTCGTCAGCAGGGTCATCGTTCATGTTTCCACACAGACCACAGACTGCATTGTGATAACTCGTCGCCAGCTCCACTCTCACTGAACTCGCAAAGTCAAAGGAGACCTGAACATGTGGAATATAAAGGATACAAAAATTCAAACTGAGACATATTGTAATAACATTGAGGCTCGGGAGTAACAGAGTACATGTAACAGGAGCACGCAATCAGATACAGTACAACAACATTCACTAACAGGATTACATTGTTACAATCAATACAAAATAAAGAGCGACATATTATAGGTAGAAATACTGCCTGGTTTTTATTTTTGTTTTTCATTTAGGCTTCTTTTATTCGTTACGTTGAGAATACAAAATACAGTAAAAGGATCCTTTTTAATAATTCTTTACTCTTGTCTTTATTTGCAATGCATGAGTGAGTGAGTGAGTGAGTGAGTGAGTGAGTGAGTGAGTGGGGGAGTGGTGTGTTTCTACCTTAAGGAAGCTTGTCTCGAGGACGGCCTGCCTGTATCTGGGGTAAACATGCACCAGGTTTTTATTGGATGGAATGGAGAATGGTAAGGAGCTCTGAAGACCGTCCACCTGCAGAAAATACATTAACACACACACACACACACACACACACACACACACACACACACACACACACACACACACTCCAGACGCCTTGCTAAACAGCTCCGTCTAAAAACAAAGTTCA